AACAACAACAACCATAACAACAACAACAACCAAAAAAGCAACAACAACCAACCTTCAGCAGATTGCAGCATATGCAACAAGCTTGAAGTTATGATGATGATGATGAAATGATGATGATGATATTCACAGAGTTGGTTCGAAGTATTTATTTGCATCGCCGATGATGTGAAAACACACTTTAAGTGTGTGCATACAAATGACAGTACAAGACTGTTTTTAACAAAACTGGAAATGTTACAGTAGTATGAAGCAACTACGACTAAAAGCAAGCATCTATAGTAGACTAAGCAACAGAAATACCACCACTAGCAACAGCCGAAAGGACAATCACAAGGACAATCACAACATTTACGATGTACAACAACAACTTTAACTACCAACGACAACAACAAAAGCATTCAGCAGATTGCAAGATGCAATGTGTTTGAGGCTTTGATGATGATGATGATGGATGATGATGATGAAATTTACAGATCTGGTTTGAAGTACTCATATTGCCTCACCAGTGATGTCAAAACACACTCTTAGTGTATACAAGACAACAATACCAAAAAACGTTTTAAAATCACAAGACTTTACTTTTTTTACTTAGTTGAGTTCTTTAACTCCAAACAAGCATATGGAACATTATTTAACCTTAAATACAGTACATTCTCCATGTACAGTTAAGGTATCAGATCTTATAAACTAGCAAAATATTATACAAACCTGAACTAATAAATTATTCTTCATTCTTCAGAGCTAGAAATGATAGTCAAGTTTTATTTTCCATTTCAAATTCCAGTTGGCACTTTCAAATTATTTTCATCCACCTTCAATAAATATAACTTTGCCCACTGACTCCTATTTCTTACCCTGATCTATGAAATTTTAATGCAGATATTTGCCTTTGACACTGGTACACCAAAAACTGTTTAGATATACACATATTAGCATGAATGCCTGATGTCTTAAATCATGCAGTTTTGCCTTGTCGCTTATGATTTAACTTTATAGTAGAACAATTTTGGGATAAGGCACCCATAGATGAATAAATTTACTACAAAAAAAATTGTATACTAAAGTTAGAAAATTAATGAGATAATATTTTTGGTAAAATAATTGTGTCTGAAGGTTGTCATAAATATAAGTACTAACAATAACAGTACTCTAAATGAATCAATGGTTTTTTGTTTGTTATTAAAAGCAAAGGTTTTAAATTAAAAAGGATTAGTCATTACGGTACTTATGGTTTTGCAGTTTTTTATTTTATTTGTTGAAATGCCTGTTAGATCATCAGCAACATCACTTGATTTTTTTAATAACACTTTCAGGGTCAATATCAGTGTAATAAAGCTGTGAATAAAAACCATATCAAGTGAAAGGATATGATATCACTTAAAAGTGAACTGGAAATCATACATTTTTGTCATTCAGAGTAATAGTCACTGGCTTGCACACTCACTTGTTTACAATATGATATGGAAACTCATGAATAAAGACAACATCAAGCTCTTAACAAGTGATAATCTCTATATGCTTGTTAGGTATGTTCGGCATTAGGGATATGTTCCTGAAAGGTTTTCACATTAGGACTTTTGCATGATGACATCTTTTCACTACAACTACTAAAATGCTATGAAAAGTTTCTTTCTTTTTCAAATTCGTATGCCCTCATGAGAATAGAGTGCTACCATAAAGTGACCACAGTAAATCCATGAAACACTAATTACTAAATAGTACAAAATAGTGCTGGTTAAACAATAGAAAACAATGGAATTTGCATGAAATGCATGTGCTATTTAGTATTACCAAAGTTTCACAGATTTACTGTGGTCACTCTAATATATCTGTGAAAAACTTTGCACAAATTTACTCAAATTTTCAAGTTCAGTAAACCATACTAGTAGATCTACAAACATTGCACTAATTTGATATGTGGTATATATGCACCCAATTAGGACAAGTGGTGCTAATTAAATGAATTTAAAAAGTTTGGCAATTGTAGTCAATGCAAGTGTCCTATAATGGATATTGTTCCTGATCACTGGGACTGCAGAAAGGGGGCTTTGAGCTCTCCATTGAAATGTGCTATTCAAGTACATGATACTACCTGCAATGATAAAAATTTTGGTTATTGTCCTATCCTCTAAATCTTTAAAACTATGCAAAGATATTCGAACAAATACTAATGCCTATGTAGAGTGGAAAAAAATCCATGTTACTAAATGGTTTCAAATTTAAAGATGCCGATGAACACTGACAACAGAGGTTCGCAAATTATGCAAATGAAAATAGAGTATGCATAAATTAGCGTAAGCTAGTGACGCTTTTGTACGAGTGATCAGGACTTCAAGATCAAGGATGACTTGTGTAATTCACGTAGATTTTGTGTTTATCATGAAGATAGCTGGATAACATAAGGGATAAAAGGCTGTATTTTGGTCGAAGAAGAGTACAAAATGTCTGCTACGAACGAAGCAGAAAGAAAGAAACACATTCACGAGTTTCAGCGAAATGCACAACGATTTCTGACTGACGACGACCGTGACTACCTTCATGACATTATGAAAGAATACCAAGCTCACTTGTCAGTAGACAAGTTAATTCAAGCTTTGAAATCATGCTTGGACACTCCTCGAAAGCTCGACTTACTCGCAGACATTAGAAATCTCATTCCTTTGGCTCAACTGAGCCGTTTTGATAGTCTGGCTCCGTATAACAAAATGGCTCATCCGTACCGACCTACAAATCAAATCTCTCCGGACAGAAGGACTCAAAACTTGAATGGACAATTAAAAGAACGCCAACAGAATGGACGAATATCTCCTGGAGGGAGTCCAAGGTCTTTTAAAGTCATAACATTGGCAAAAACTTCGGCGGAACAAGTTTTGGGGTTTAGTATTCAAGGTGGAAGAGAGCGGGGTACCTATGTTTACGTTTCTGAAGTCGACTCAAGATCGTTAGCAGAGAAGCAAGGATTGTCTGTTGGAGATGTCATAATAGAAGTGAACGGAATCAGTTTTGAACACATAGCTCTAAGTTCAGCTGTTAACTTGTTATCTTCATTAAAGAAGATTAAAATGGTGGTGAAATCTCAAGGGAAAATGCCGGATTTGGGTGAAGGCATGTCGAGGAAGAATCCATGGTAAGATATATCTGTAAAATCATTCATGGGTTACCGCGTTCTTGGATACCAATGGTTTCCAATGTTTACTCGATGCATATTCTAGAATCCCGTTCGATTGGGATCTTAGAACACTTATGATATTAATCCAAATGATTACTTTATATATTGCGCGATACAACTTATACCCATAAAACTTATCCTCTGACTTATACCATTAAACACATACCTTCACTAAATAATATTTTACCCCAAGTAAACAATAAACACGCTTCGTGCCATTAGACACCTGAGTGCCGCGTTCCCTAAACTCAGTTCGAGAATACTTCAATACTTTGTTCTCCCCTACTTATATTTTTAAGTTCTTACATTTCTCACAAGAGTTACGAAAGAATTGAGTGATTTTTGGAACTTGCATTATGTTAAGGCTCGAAGTGCGAGTAATCGTGTGAAATAAGATAGGTTCAAATGTTTTGCTTGGAATCTACAGAAATTAATGTCTCTTAATGCAACATATAATTGGTTTCAATTGAAAATTGTCAAGTTTTTTGTTTTATAGAAAGGTTCATTCCAAGTTGATCTGTTTGTAAGCTGCATTAAATGCTTACAGTCTCGAGGGAAATGACTTAAATTAATTAACATGACCCCTCACATTTAATCACTAGATATTATAAGGTTTGTTAGACATAAACATCTTCAAACTAATTCACCATGTTTCTATTTTCTACACAAAGAATTTTTTTCAAAACGTTTCTCATGATCAATCTAACTATATAGAGAAATTTGATTTGATAACGTCATTTACTTTTTATGTTAAAAATTACTAAAAATACCTAATAATTCAAGAACAATTTAAAAGGTAAAATTTCTTGTTGTAGATTAAAATAATTTTTACAAACTAAAAATCCAAGTTCCCCTTAGACAATATTACTATGCATGAGTTGACATAAATATTGCATATCTCAATCTCAAAGACTTTCTGAAAGAATTTTTAGTGAGAAATGGCTTATGGAAAATATATTTGAAGATTCTTTCAACTTGTTATGATTCAAGTTTTTTGAGATGAATTTGGGATGTGAACACTGGGTCATACTTTGAAAGTAAATCTTCGCTTGAGCCACAAAACAATCCATGAATTGTTGGCAGCTTCTCATTCCTTTGTAAACATTGCTTTTATGAAGAATATGAGTACACATAATAGTATCATAATGAGAAAAGAGCTGTTTTATAGTCGTCGTATAACATATATCCGTGATTTTAGGGTTTTGACCTCATAAAGATTTTCTTTTTCATATAGCGAATATGATGTCACCAAATATATTTTGGCAAAAACTTTTTTTACCTTTCAGAAAATGTCAACATATATTTCATACTTACTTGTGAAATATTTTTCTAATATAATCTTATTGACAATTAATTATTTTTTAGATTCCACACCCTGTATCATATGTGAATATTATATTATGTATGTGTATCCTAGGCGTATGTACTGCTGAATTGCATTTGAAACATTGGACTTTACCTCATACTTTGTTAATTAATTGTTTTGCACTTACTATATTTTTCTCTCTTGTCAATTTTGTCATGGATTTTTATTGTTGTCTGTGTTTTCTGTTTATCTGTAGTCTACATTATAATTATCTTTGTATGGTTCTATTTTTAAATCAAGAATGTCAAAAAACATATGCAATGTTAACCCAATATAGATTATTGCGTAACGGGAGTAACGGGAATGTCTGTAGACAGCACTGGTACAATTGAACAGCACTGTGTAAAGGTGTACAAATGATATTGCCATGGAAACTGAAATGCTGTATAATAATTCATTAATTTATCCACCTCCCTCATTCACCACTTATTACACCTATTCTTATTAATAATAAATTTTCCAAACATGACAAATTCAGGTATCTCATTGTTAACCTTTATCATCCAAAGAATTTAATCTTTTTATTATTACTTATTATGATTATTTATTTATAATTTATTATTATATATTTTAGGAGTGAAAGGAATGGAGGAGCTTCCCCAGATGGTAATGACAGTGTACAGGTTAGTTCTTCAAGAATATCCCTAAAATGAATAAAAGATATATATTGGTGTATTTTTCATTTACTTTGTTTATGTAATGCCAATGCATTATATAGTGCAGGTAAATAGGTCCCATTTTTTTTACATTCTACAGAATAGCAGCACCAGCAGTGTAGGCAGCCACAACAGCATTACGTTGCAACCCAACTCACACCTCCTGAACAGTGATGATGAACGCAGAGTTAACCTAGCAGTTGAGTCAACTCCAACCGGATTTATTGGATTCAACTTGAGGGGTGGAGCGGAGTACGGTTTGGGAATATATGTTTCAGGGTAAGGATATACACTGTGCTCTGTTCACTAATAAAGCACAGTTTTCAACCAATCAACGCATGCATACTATCCTAACTATAATATATGACTATGACAACCATCCATTGATCTCACAACAGGTTTGAGCTACATGGTGGTGAGACACAGCACTGTTAATAACAGCACCCACAACTTCGCTGCATTGGTGGGGTTCAGTTCATACCCTATCCAATACCCCTGTAAATTATTTGAAAACCATTCAACCCCTCTCATTCCAATGTAAAGCAGGGACCATGGAAAGCTAAACAATTTGGCAGGGTAACTAGAATTACTCAGAGTAATTTTCATCTATGCCCTTTTGGATTGCATTAGGACTTAGAAGTTGATTTTTGCAGAGGAAGGAAAGCCTGAGAACCAGGAAAAAACCCTGGAAGCACAGGAGAGAACCAAAAGAGAGAACCAAAAAACATCTCTACTCACATACAACTAGTCCGAGAATCAAACCGTTTCTCACCACTATGCCACCCATGCTTCCCAAATGTAAGCTTATCCTCTCAGTTCACCATGGAGAGGTGGGCTGAGAGGAATAAGCTGATGTTTTAATGTAAATGTTGTGTAGGGTTGATCCTGGTTCATTAGCTGAACAATCAGGATTCAGAGTTGGAGATCAAATTCTTGATGTGAATGGAAAAAGTTTTGAAAATGTCAAGCATAAAGAAGCAGTGGATTTCATTAAGAGTCATGCACATATTATCGTCACACTAAAGGTACTGTAAGTCAATGAATGTCCCTTTATGTTTTTATCTTGTAGTGTTTGCTATGGCATTTAGAAATTCCTAAGAGAGTATGTGCATGTGTGTGTGTGTGTGTGTGTGTGTGTGTGGTTAGGGGGTAGGGGGGAGGGGTAGGGGCAACATATGATAATAGATTGTACAAGAATAACATTGGGCAGGGATCTTGTCTCATTTGTCATGTTTTTAATTCAAGCAAAGTCAACTCTAGAATTATCTTTAGTTTATCCTTTGTGTATTATCTGATGGTAATAATGTGCCAATGTTTTCTCTCTAAGGCTGTTGGTAAATTACCTGAAGCAAAGCATTATACATCTGAAATAAGTTGGATCTATCCTGATGGCACAATAGCTAGAGGTACGCACAGTAGCACGAAGCTGAATAGTAGATTGCAAGATATTGTAGCTATCAATAGTACACTTATCAATAGTACTTGCTTTATATACACCAATTGATATTTTCTAAATATTTTTGTTTGAAATATTTATTTACAGAAGGAAAAGAGAATTATACGAGATCTCTGTCATCACCCAGCCCTCCAGTGTCACCATTGGAACTCAGTCATTCAAGCACTCAATTCCCAGATTACGAGAACAATAACATTAGAATGGAAAGCCCCAAACCTGAACTAAGGGAATTTGGAGTCCAGACCCCAGTTGCAAAAATAGACTCAGATACCCAAACACTTGATGAAGTTCCTGTAAGAGATGTACAGCAAGAAGCCAAGGAAAAGCTTGAGAGGACACAGAGTTCTAAAAGTGTTGCAACAACATGTTCATCAAGTAGTGCAGACACAGAAAAGAGGCAATCTGTACACTCAAGTTCATTCTCTATCGATAGCACCAATAGTAGAGAAGACTTGGAAAGGAAGTACTTGGCTGCTGGCCACAGCGGTGCTTTTAGCGCTGAGAACATCAATATTCAGGCTACAGCAAGTGATAGTGAGGCAATATTGCAAGATGAAACCAAACGAAAGGTGAAGAAATCCAAGTCCTTCTTGCAGAAGCATGGAGACAAGATTAAATCTAAACTGAGCTTTAGGAAAAAGAGTAAACCCAAGATGGAGCAGAAAGGAGGTATGTGTTGACTCCATACGTTGATTAAATTGTTTGTCTTAATTTCATTAACTTTTTTAAATCTATTTTTCACTAAAAGGAGAAGGTGATGATTTATCATACATATTACTATTTGAAGACATAATATTGGATTTTGTAATCGATTGTTTCAATTTTATTTTAGGTGGTCCAAGTAAACAGCAACTGCTATTATATGTGGAGGAACGAGCCAAAAAGATCCTTGTTGTGGATGAATACAATGTACTTATCAAGCACATTAAAAATGTGAGTGTGCACCACAAATCATAGGCTCAGATTTCCAGCCATCAGGGTTTTGTACGTGCCCACAATATTCTTACCCAATGGCTGCATGTAAATCTGAGCCTACACAAATCATGGAATGTTAGTATTCATAATCGTGTACATAAAGCATTTTTACTGTGTCATTGGAATAATTTCAATGGCGAAAATCATCATTCTCATCTTCAAGCATCATCATAATTATCATTTTTACAGAATCACTATAATATTTCTAATATTTTTTTAAATTTCTCATAATTGACAGTGTAATGATCATGTTAATTATCATCAGCATCATAGAATTATCACTGTCATTGCCATCAGTCCAATAGCATGAGTTCATTATCATCATGTATCATCATCAGTATCATCATGTATCATCATCATGTATCATCATCAACATGTATCATCATCATCATGTATCATCATCATCA